CGATGCCATTTCTTAAAGGTACTGTTGAAATTGTTGAGAGAAAGCATGTGAGAAGAAGGCGGGAAGAGACGGGAGACATGAGAGAAGGGTTGGAGGGGAGCCATTGTGCAGAGAATTTACAACCGAGGGAGACAGGATGTAGAGATGAAGAGCACAGCTTTGCAGACAGACGTGGGCTTGACCCCTCACTCCGGGTCATCTAGATAAGGAACTTAACCTCTCTGAGCCTGTTTCCTCATCTGTAAAATAGGGATAATAATATCTACACCAGAGAACCAGTGTGAGAATCAGATGAGATAATAATTAAGCAGCTCTTAACACAGTGTCTAGCACAGAGCAAGCACCCCATAAATGCTGGCTACACCCCTGCCTCCAAGAGAAGAGCTCAACTGGTAAGTATGATTGGAAAAACCCTGATTCCTTCACCCAGTCAGTGGGGTCCTGAGCATCCCCAGGCCTGGGCTCATCTCCTCAGAATCCTCCGGGTCAGCTGAGGGAGCCTGGGCATGTCCTTGCCTGGCTCTGGGTGTCCCTACTGAAAATGAGGATGACAGTGGGTTCCTTACACCATTGCACTCCACATCTGCACACTGAAGAGCAGGGTAAACAAGAACAGCTGGTACCACTGGCTGCCTCTGGGGGAGGGATGAGTGGCTGGATTTGGGAGTGGGAAGAAGACTTTTCATTGTACACTTTTTCATACTTTTTAAATTTTAAATATATGGATATGTTACCTATTCAAAAAAATAAATAATTTTTAAATGCAAAGACCAAATTCATATGCAGCCTGAGGCCACATGAACCAGGAGGAGATGGCTGCAGAACAGCAGCCGCAGTGGTGTTGGGACTGCTCTTGGGAAAAGAAAGGGCAAAGGAGGAGGAAGGGGCAGAGGAGTGTCAGCTGATTGGGGCCCCTGGAAAAGAACATGAGCAGAGAGAGACAGAGGTGTGTGCACCTCAACACGACAGGACTTCTCTGGGAGTGTCATGGGCTGACTGAACTTAAGAGAAAATGACTTAAAGTGGTCTAGTGTCAAGTTCAAGCTTGGTTCGGTTCGGACATGAATTGTCAATGGAATGGAAATAAGGAAAGGGAAGGAGCTGGGGATCAGAGCCTGAATTATTCATTCTGAGTATCTGTACTGTAAGGAAGTTACAACTCAGAGAACCCTTGGGGTGGGACACAGCTGTGTATGGCTGTGTCTCACTTACTCCTCACAACTCTTGGGGGGGATTATCATCCCCATTTTAGAGATAAGGAAATTGAGGCTCAGAGAAGTTAAGTAACTTTTCCAAAGTGACACAGAAGGTACTTGAGAGAACTGGAGTTTGCATCCCAGTCTGACATCCAAGCCCATGCCTTTTTCACTCTGATGCACTAGTCTCCACCTTCCTCCTGGTCTGGGCAAATCCTGGTTAGACCTCTACAGAGGGTGCAAGCAGAGATGGAGATGCTCAAAGTTCCCTGAAGAGAGGAGGAGTTAGGCTAGCATGAAGGAAGAGAATTTGAGATTGGGTGGCTGTGCTGGCTGTCTAGCCTTCCACTCCCCTCACCAGCCAGGCCTCAGGGCATCTGGGAGTGATGAAGACCAGAGACGGAAGTGGGTGGGGAGGAGAGGGCAAGTAACCCAAGGGAGGATTTGCAAGGAGAAGGGAGGACAGCTTAGAGAAGGAGGAGGAGGGGCAGTAGAGAGAGGAAGCTATAAAGTAAAAAGCTTATCCTTGCAAATACTCATCTGAGGGGAAAGGGAGGGTTGGCTATACATTTATTCCAAATGTGCTATTATTACATAAAAAAGCATTTCCAGAACACCTACCTCTCTGGGACATGCCTGCAGTTGCCTGCAGTTTGTTCTTCCTTCCTTCCTTCACTCACTCATTCACACAGGCAGCGACTGAACATCTGACTGCCGGGAGTGAACAGTCCACCAAAGGTGGGATATCAAGGGTAGCTGATCATTTTTATTTGGGCATGGATTCCATTTGGGAAGACAGACAAATGGCATTCACAACCAAGTCTGATGCTGTCACCTTGGGTGGGGCAGGGCCCCTGAGTGCACTGCCCGGATATCCCTTATCCACCTTACCCAGGTGGGGAATGCTCATTTGGGTTCCACTCTGGCATAATTCAAACACTGGCCCTGCAGACCCCGTGCCAGGGGGAGCAGCAGATCTGCCCAGCCCAGCAGTAGCAGGACTTGGAAGGTGGATGGAAGAGTTGGAGGCACTTGTGTGGGTGGGAAGTTCTGGTCCATCTGTGTCTCAGCGTACTGTGCTGTGTGTGCAGGAGTGGGTGGGATCCAGCTCAGAACAGGAAAAATGTCAGATGTTTATAAAAACCCAGAAGGAGACAGGAGCTATTAAATGAAAGGTCTCAGTAAACATATTCTTTTCATACTAGCATCACACAGAAAGGCAGGGAGAAGGGAGAGAAGAGAAAGGTGAGAGAGCAGATATGAGTACAAATGGGTAGATGAAGAGCTGAAAGGCCTTTGAAGGAGCTGTGGGAACAGGGGCTGGAGGGAGGCCTGGGGCCACACCAGGGGCGAGGCCCACCCTTGGAGAAGGCTGGGAGAGGCCACAAGTGCCCCCAACAGCCCAGAGCCAGCCTTTAGGCATCAATGCAGCCTCAAAAACATGAGGGGAAACTGAGGTATCTACCAGTGAAATGACTTGATAGCTGGGATTTCCTTCAAAATGATTCCTGAGCTGACAGTATGTTGAAGCTAGGTGGTGTGTATGTGGGGGGTTCTTCATGCAAATATCTGTACTTTTCATTATGCTTGAAATAAAGAGTTTCTAATAATAAAACGTCTTTTAAAAGTAGATCTATGAAAGAATCGCACACTGCAGGTAGAATACTAGCAGAGGAATATAAGCCATAGAATACAAGGAGAAATTAATGAGAATTGTGTCTTGGGTTTTCTTAAATAACAGCACAAATCAGGGCTTCTTAATCAGGGGATGATGGATGAGCTGCGGGATCCCCAAACTCCTGTAATCACATGCAAAGTGACCTGATAGTTTTCAGCAAGTTTTCAAGGAATCTATGACTTTCCCCCTTAGGGGTTAATAAATTGTATTGTCTCTTAAATGTGCTATGCATACATTAGTCACTTGGCATATGGTTTAAATAAAGGGGTTATTTTATAGAACTGGCATATTCACATCTGGGCCCTGTGTTTTCATCTCTCCTCTCAGTCAACCAGGCCTGGAGCAGAGCAAAATTGGCTGACCGGTTTCACAGCCCAGCTCCCTGGGGACAGCAGTGGAGGAGGGGGAGGGCTGTGCCAGAGAGAAGGGTCACAGTGTGGAGGTAGAGACAAGGGAATAGGAGAGGTCTGGGGAAGCCAGTGAGGCTCCCTGGAGTCTGAGAGAATGACAGGAGGAAGTGTTGTTGAGGTTGTCATCCTCTGGTAGATTCATTGCCTTTTGACTACAAATGTTCAACAGAAAACACAGTTTTGAATTGTCTAAAGCTCAAAACTGGGATAATTCCTTACAAAATCCCTTTGCATTCCTCACAGGGTAGCATAACGCCCAGTGTGACATCCAGCCCCTTGCAGTGAATTCTTCCAAGAAGTCCAGCTCCCCATAAGATCCCCAGAACGGGCAGAGCAGGCTGTCACCCGGACGCTGCAGCCTGGTGGGCAGGGGAGGTGTAGGTTAGTTTAGGGGCCAGTGAGGGTCTCATCTTGCAACCGTCTCCATATTTAAGTCAAGGCTTGAAGGCCTGCCCCATTTCCTGATGTATAAAGGCCTTTTCTCCCCAGGCTAACATTGCACAGGCTAGTATGAGCCCTGGGAAGAGAGATGGGAGATGATGGAACACAGGGTCCAGGCACTACTCTGTAGCTGGGGCTCTGAGCTCTGCTCTCGACCACTCCTGCTTCAGAGAAGACAGATGAGGGTTGAAGCCATTCCCCTCTCCCACAGGAGGGCACAAAGACCCTTGTCTCCCAGGACTCTTGTCTTCTTCCTTACCAGGCAACTGAAACCGTGAAGCTTACCTGCCCCCTCAAGTGGAAAGAGATGAAGACCCTGCCCATTCCTGGACCAGGCTGCAGGGCTGAAGGCTGGGGGCTGGTGTGCATGTGGTGGTGGTGGGTGGGTGGGGGTGGTGGTAATGAAATAGGATAGAGAGAAAGGTCTGTCCCAGGACAGGGCCAGGTGAAGGCTTAAGGCTGGTGTGCATCTGCCTGGGCTCTCACCTCAGGAGGACCTGCTCCCTCCTGCCTCCTCTCCACCTCCCCTCCCCCAAGTCCTAGTTCCTGTTCTTCCTCCTTTAGAAATGCGCCCCCCCCCCCACACACACACACCTTTCCTTCTCAAATCTCCTCTGGCATTCAAGGTTTGGACATTTCTCCGTCTCTCTCTGTCATGATAGAGAGATGCACAGTACTCCAGGAAGCTCCTCCCTCTACATCCCCCTCCCACCAGAACCCTGACTCTGAGGGCATCATCCAGAATCCTCAGTTTCCTCCATCCATGCAAACTGTCAATGCAGTGGAAGGTGCAGCACCAAGAGCAAAATACCCGGTGGCAAGTTTTGGACTATGTCCTCATCATTCTTCCTTCATTGTGGTCCCTGTCTTCAACGCCTCCATCCCCAACTCCTCACAGCACTGTGCCCCTACCCCATCTTGGGTCAGGTGGCCTCAGGTTCCTCCTGTCAAGGAGGAAAGAGGGACTTTCTGTTGAGATCGGACACTGTGGCCATCCCTGCCCAGGAACCAAAAGAATGGGTCTGCAATGGAGACTTTCAGAGACGCACACCAGTTGAGAGAGATTTTTCTTAGGGTGGAAGAGGACCTCCTTTTGTTGCTCCCATCACCTCCCAGAAAGCACTCCATACTACTTAGGCTCCAAATGTATGAGGGCCTGGGTAGCACACAGATTCCGTGGAGAGAAGAACCAAAGCTACTTCCAAGGTACCAGCCTTGGGGCCGCAAGGCACTGCTGGCGAGATTCCGAGAGGCACAGACCACCGAAGATGAGTCTTTTTTTAAACTGTGCTTTATTTAGGGCTAAGCTGGAGAAAGCGTCATCCAATAGTTACAGAAGGTTACAAGGAGTTTTAGGGAGTTGAGTGTGAAAAGAGCAGTTGTACTGAACTGCAGCTGTTTTTTTTTTTTTTTTACAACATCTGGACATCCTAAAAGGAGGAGCCAAGAGAAAGAAAAAGAAAATTTTAAAAATAATAATTAACCAACAAAATAGACAGAAAGAAAGGAAAGACAGGAGGCCTGAGAGGAACCAGAGAGTTGTTCTCCTAAAGCAAAAACGGAAAAAAATGGTAGGTCTGAGAGCCTCCTGGCCTCCAGATGAACTGGACATCTGTGAGAGGAGGGTATCAAGGCAGAACGCCAAAGCAAGTCTTCCCAATGGTGCAAATAAATTATAATAAATATGTTATACTTTAAAATATATGTGTTCTTAAATAATTCAGTGTTTTTTCTGATTCTGAGTTTTTTTAAGCAATGTCTTTTTTAACTGCTCTAAAGTCATTTACCAAAGATAAATATCGTGCTTTCATTAAATAGTTTTCCTTGTTTTTTTCTCTATCATTACAATTAAAAGTCCTACAAAATATGCAAATTTATTTACAGAAAAACAGAGCCGGCATCATTTAAACATCCCTGTTTTTCAAAATTCCTTGTAAACAGTTTCAGAAATTCTTCAAAGATTGTTTATTTTTCTCTCTCTTGTTTAAGGTTTTTGTGTGTGTGTGTGTTGTTTAGTTGTTTTAAGATGAAAGTTCCCAGGTCTCCCTTGCCCGGAAAGTCTCTGGAGCAAGCATGGAAGGCGAGTGAAGCGGAAGGTGTCGAGGGCTTGCGGAGAGCGGGCGAGCGCGCGCAGCTCCCGAGCGAAGCGAGGCGAGGGCGGCGGCGGCGGGCCTTCCTGCCGAGGGCGCGGCCTCCACCGGCGGCGGGCAGCCAGGAGCCCCAGGTCTGGGGGAGCCCGGCCTGGCCCTCGGGGTCAACGGCGTCCGACAGCACTCGCGGGGAGAAGGGATTGATGCTCAGTCTAAACTCTACAAAAGTACAGTCCTACAACATCTGGGATTTTAGCAGTAACGCTAACTTCTATAGGTTTTTTTTTTCCTTTTTTATTTTTTTTTATTTTTTGCTTTCCTCTAATTTTTCTTCTATTATATAGGTATTTTAAACTTCTCCTTTTTAAAATTCTGTACAACTATTATGATTTTAAGAGGGGGAAGAGTTAGAAGCATTTACAGACTTTTCACAACAATTATCTTGCCTTGTAAGTCCCTTTTTTCCCCTCCTTGTTGTCTCACACTTCACAGTTAATGAGTTTTAATATTTTTCTTGCTTTCCCCAAATATCCACCAATTGGTTCATCTTAACAGCTCCGTCCAGACATATAATACAGAAAACCATAGGAAAGTGTCATAGACTTGAGTGAGGGTAATCAAAGCGCCTCTCAAAGTATCAAAGAACTATTATCTTGCTGTTTTAAAAGCATTGAAGCATTATTTTTCCTTTTTTTTTTTTTTTTGCTATTTTGTGTTTTTTTTTTTTTAATTTTTTTATTACATTTTTCATAGAATCGCTCTAAGCTGTTTCAAGAACAGCCGTGAGGCAGGAAGGAGGTTCTCCTCCATTCCCCCTCTATTTGACATAGAGCTACACATCTGCAATAAAAAGTTTGGTCCTTTGGTCCCTAAATAGCTAAAGGAATGACAGATAGAGATGCTCAGTGGCAGCTTCCCAGCCGCCCCCTGGGGACCAGGCCCCGCCACACCGCTTGCCCCAGCCTGCCTCAGGCGCCCATGGGCTGGAAAAGCCCCGGGATTGGTAAGCAGCGTCTCTTCCCAGGTCCCAGCCCTTCAGCCTCCCCATCTGATCTCAAGTTTTCTTGTAAAGTTGCCTTTTTTGTGTTTTTTTTTCCTCATTTTTCATCTTCTTCTTCTTTATGTCATACATATATTTTCCCCCAAACACGTGCCCTCTGAACTCCAAAGATGCTATACTTTCCTTGAAGAAATGTTACAGTCACAGAGAGTGTCTGGAGTCTTCAGCTTGATTGATATTGGCTGATATGTCAAAGGTGTCATCCAACAGTTCTCATTTATAAATATATATAGAGAGAGGTTTGTTTTTTAATGTAGCCCGTTCAGCATCCTGCCCTAAAATGAAGAAAATCAGGGCTGATTAAGCCAAGAGAGGAACCACAAAATGCATCCAAACACCAAAAGGATCCTGCCTCGGGGGTTAGGGTGGGAGCTCTGGGGGATGGCGGGAGGGAGGGGAGAGACCAGTATGAGAATTAGTCATGATCATGATACATAAAAAAGAAATTGACTCTTGTATTCAGAGTAAGAAACCACTGGGAGGCCTAGTGGTGAAGGCTGGAGCTGAGCTTTAGTTGTTAAGAAGGGGGTCTCGATTTGGGTTCCTTTAGGATTGGAGGATGGCTAAAATCCAAGGGAAGAATTTGGGACTGTGGGATGTGAATTCATAATTAAACTGATCTCTGAGGGATCTAGCCCAGATACAATATGTATACAGAAGCCTAGCAAACAAGAGAGCAAAAACCTAGCAGCCCAGCCCACTCCTCCCCAACTTGAGGAAAAGAAGGAAGACAGATCCGTGATATAAATTTGGTTGAATCCTTGCCCAGTTTCCAGCCAACCGCTCCTTTCTCAAGGTCCATAACTATTTGCGAGGCTATGTATATATATGTATATCTGGATATATGTGTAGAATATATTCACCTGCACATATGTGGATATACAGGAATATGTGTGTATGTATATGCATAGACACACACATACACACACACACATAATATTTTTCTCATACATGCCAGGGAATTTAGAGGAAATTCAGAACTTCAAGGGAGGGGATGGGAGAACCTAAAAGAAGTTCGGGCGGATTTAATCATCAAACTTAAATAAATGAGACGGTTCTCGATTTTGTTTTGAATGGTGGCTTCTTGGTGTTTTGTTTTGCTTTTAAGAAAAAAATCATGATCTGACTAGAATCAGAAGGAGAATGCTTAATCATTGTGAATTAACAAATGAGACTCATCTCCATTCTAGCAAGCAGCTTCCACTTATACATGGGGGTGACTGGTTACATCAAGAAAGTTAGAACTGCAAAGCCCCCAGTTGAGGGGACAACGTCATGCGTATATCAATCCATGCTGGCAGGTTTTTCACACTGTTGATTCAACAAACAGCAAACCGTACACAGCAGTCTAAACAATTACAACACCAAATAAAATAATAATAAAATTAAAAAACACTTGTCAAGGACCCTTTTTCAGTTGTAAACAAAAAGGTGCATTTTGCTTTTGTCAGGACTGTTTTTTCCAAACCAACCAAAAAGCCCTCCCAAACCCCCAGTCCCCCGCCTCCCCTCCCCACATTTAATTTAGCAGAAGTAGCTACAATACAAACCTTACAATTGTTACTGGGCTCTCTCTCAGAGCCTCTGGCTTTGTACTCTAGTTTTTTGGTTTAGAATTTTTTTTTTATCATTCTGTTACTGTAGAGATTTTTTTGTTTTTTGTTTTTGTTTTTCCTTTTGAAGCGAGATTTAAAATAGCCTAACTGGAAAAAGACCAGACCTAGGAAAGTGTCAATTGAAAAAGGCCCCCAAATTTCTAGAAAAAAATAAAATCACAATATTTTCAAGTGCAAGGAAATCAACCACGCATAGATATTTTTAAGATGTTTTCCTTATTTTTTAAGAAAAAAATAATGGTTTGCACAGTTAAATGATCCTGTGTTCGAGAATTCCGGAATTCATCTTTATTTTTACTATTTTTTTTGTTCTTTTGTTTTGTTTTTTTCTCTATGTGACATCTAGAGAAGCATAAAAAACGCTGAACAAGAAAAACCAAACAACAGAAAGTAAAACCACTGCAAGCACCAAGAACGAAACGAAAATGAGCACAGCAAAAAAGATCGTGGCAGCACAAAAGTCAAGAAAATGCACGTGTGATCATGACTGGCCAATCATCAACTGATACGACATCCAAGAAAAACGCTCCAATCACAGCACCTCCACGAAACTTGACGGCAATTGTCATGCAACCGATTCTTAGCCTTGTTACATGACGCCATCATGTCACACTGTGAACTTTGAGTTGATTTGAACTTACGGATGGGGGACTGTTTTCTCCACTCTCATGTGATTACGTGAACTTTATTCCTAGCTCAGCGCGAGACTGTGGTGGATTTGACTGGCCCTGGTTGGGTTGTTGGAATTTGATTGAATGACAAAAGAAGAAAAGATTTATATATATATATTTATATATGTAGAGAGAGAGAGAGGACAAGAGAGTGTGGGCAAGGGGGAAGGAAGAGGCAGGGGTAGGTCGGGTGGGGTTGGGACTGTGGGAGGGCAGGGAGAGTTGGGTTGAGGGTGAAGAAGGGCAAGGAAGACGTTAAAACAAAATTAAAAGGAAAAATACTTATACAGCACCAGACCACAGCATCAGTCTAAAAGCTCTGATGAGAGAACAGCAGTCAAATTATAAGAGAACTGAAAAGAACTCAAAGGATGGAGGAAGCCAGCAGACAAACAACATGGGCACGTCAGCACACACACACATACACACACACGGCTGTTTATGCAGACACATGATACACTGTGAACAGTAGCAGAACCTCACACAGGGCCACTAGGGCATCCATCATGCGTTGGGAAAAGGAGGGGAGCATGGGCAGTTTGGTGAGGGGGCCAGAAAAAAATAAAACAGCCCCTCAAACCACCGTGGCCGGCAAGCAGACGAGAGAGCACGCTCTCTGCTTTATATGACCCTTGATTCTCTCTCTCCCCCAGGGGCCGAGCTCTCCTCACCCCCCAGCCTTCTGTGGCTTCAGCCTGTGGACCAGTAGGGGCCGCCCGTCAGGGTGGCCCTGATTTGCCGGGTAGGTCAGAGGCTGGCTAAGTGACTGTTGTATCCGTGGGGTCCACCCATGACACACTTTGCTGCCAGAGTACAGTCCACACCGACAGCAACTCAGCCCTCCCACCCTTTCAGGCCCCACCTTGGCTGCCATCCCCAGGAAGGTGTCTCCACCGCAAGAGCACCCACTGTACGATGTTATGATCCTCTCCCCTTCTGCTCTGCCTCAACCCTCTTTCCTCAGAACCTTCAGGAAATGAACATGTTTAGTTTTGAGATTTAGGGTAAATCACATCAACATTCTTGGACTTCTATAAAAACGCCTTGACACTACTGATCTCACTTCACAATCACCTCACAACCTCTGCTTAGCTCCCAAGGTGGCCCAAGTGAGGCTGCTTCTGGGCACGTGACGCCGTTAGAAGCCGCGCAGCTCTGACCCATGGAAGGCCCCCATGGAGGGCTGTGGGGCACCTGCAGGGTGGGTAATACAGAGGACAGTCCACCAGAGAGGGGAGTGCCATGGCCCTGGTCTCTGGTCTCTGCCACCGTCACCTTTGCTCTGCTGACCTCCCCTACTCCACCTCCTCCCTCTCCATCCCTCTATACCCAACACCCCACCACGTACAGCTTTCCAGACTGACCCATCTCACAGGCTCTGAGCTGCCTTCTTTACTGGTGGAGCCCTAAGTGGTTGAGGCTGAGCTCCTCTCTGGGTCAAGCATCATCAAATTATTCCGCCTTGAGTTGTCTTCTGCACTCTTCATCACTGCACAGTTCTTTGTCCCCACTCAGGGATTTGGGGGTCCTCAGCTCCACCCTCTCTTCATGGTTACCCTTGAGCTCGCTCCCCAGCCCCTGCTCCCCTGCAGCCCCAGGCCTGTGCCCCAGTCTGGGCACCAGGTTTATCTGCAGGGTTTCCAATCCACCAGGCTTCCACACGCAGCGGACTCCACTCTCAGCTTTGCGTTCTCCTTCAGGGAGCGTGGAAGGCAAGCCTGGGATCGTGAAATGTCACTGGATAAGCCGCAAAGCAGCTGAGAGGTGACTCTATTTTAAGCCCAAACCTGGCCTCCAGCTCTGCCTTCACAGAAGAGCTCCCAGCCCCTCCCTCTCCACAGCCCCTGCCCTGCCTGCCAGTCACGCTGGGTTCTTGCTCTTCCAACAGCAGGTCTCCCTCACTCAGACCAGGGCCCACCGCATGCCCACCAAGTCCTGACGTGCTACCCTCTCCTGCATTTCCACCTCTCCCGAAAGAAAGCCCTAAGACCCATCCAGGATATCCAACTGGCAGGTCCCTTTCGGTGGGAGAAGAGGCCTAAGAACTGAGGAAGGCAGTGCCATCAGGTGTCAGCTATGGCAACTGCAACTAAGGGACCCCTGGGGACCTCTCTTTCCCCCTTCCCCCTTCCCCCCAGTCCTGAGCATCTCACGGACGCCCACTCCTCCCCACTCTGCTCTACTCCTTCGCCCTCTCGAGCTTTCCTCCAGCTGCCCTCAGTACCTGGCACTGTCACTGTCACTTACCTCCCACATGCTGGGGATTCAAGCCTGAGCTTCACACAGCCCCTCCTCAATCTCCATCTAGGGAACCTTCTCATATGCCTCTCATCTCTCACACGCGCTTGGCCCCTGACACACAAACACACTCACACTCACTCCACCCCTTAGGAGCCTCCCCAGGGTTCTGCGCGTGCACAACTGCTCCTCTCTTCATTAGGGAGCAGTTGCACCTCTGCCTGCAGGAGTGACCCCTTCCAGGCCACCCTCTGGAGGAGCCTCACAGAGCACAGCCCTAGAGGAGGCAGCGGGGTCACTGACCAGCGTGGGGGAGCTTGAATCAAACCTGGGAAGCTGCAACTCACGACCTGGGTGAGGAAATTATAGTCAGGCTGAGCCAATTCAGATGGCAGGTCCTAAACACAGGCGGGCTCTAGGCAGAGAAGGCCCAGGCCCGAAGCCACGGCCCAGCCCTGGACCGGTCACACCCGAAGCAGCCGTGTCCGCCAAGCCTGGAGCAGATGCTGTGCAAAAGCACACTCAGAGCCAAAGACCAGGGCCCAGAAGACACGGAACGCCTACTGGAGGCAGACGTGCTGCCCAGTGTGTTCTCCAACCGCAGAACCACATGCTAGGAGTCTGCGGGCCACCCTCAGCCTGGGACCCAGGGTGTGCCGGCCAGCTCTGTGGTAGGACAAGGGCCTTGGGTGTTCTGCCCGCTGGCTGTGGACCTGGCCATGCCTGCACTTTTGCCCCTCTTCCTGCCTTTGTTTCCTTCCTCTGAGTTTCCTGATAAAGATTTCCTGGAGAAACTCCCATCTTAGCACAAGATAGGGAGGCTGAGCAGCCAGAGGAGCAGAGGCAGCAGGGAAGCTAAGAACCCCGTGAGGAAGGAGAGCCACACCCTCGGGAGACATGGGGATGCCATCACCCAGTCAGATCCCCAGCCCAATCCCTGGGCCTCACTTTATGGAACCAAAGCCCAACCATGCTCCCCTGGTGGCGTGCCGGGGCCCCTCTCCTTCCCCAGCCCTGCCACACTCTGCTCTGATTTGGCCTTGGCCACCAGGCCTGCTGTGCCTTCCACCTTCCCCACTGTGGGTGGCCAGCCCTGGCCCTGAGATCCCCCTCCCCGTCGCAGCTCTGGCTTGTCCCTCAGCCCCTGCTCGGGCTAGCCCTGCCCTTCTGAGCACGGAGGACTCATCATTTGTAAACACCGTTTATTGGCCTGTAAAATCGTGCAGTGTTTTAGCTGCTCGTGCATGCTGTCTCCTCCCTCGCAGCAGCCTGACAGCGGCCACTTCTCCCTGCAATCCCCAAGCGTGCCCCTTATCTTAGCAGCCTCCTCCAGTGACAACCGCTGACAGTCTTGGGTTGGGAAGCCTGAAAGCACCATTCGTTAAAATGCTGCCGAAATGGAGTAAAGGTCAACTCTCTTGTAGGAGTTATGTCACATCATAGTTCTTTAGATCACTGCTCAGTAGAGAGGAGGTAGTCAGATCGCTGACCCCAGAGAAGTGAGACATCATGACATGTCCCCTCTGGTAGTCAGGACACTCTGGGGTGGGAGGGCTGGGGTGAGGATAGCGGTAGGGGGTTACCATTCTCCTTACTTGAAGGGGTTAAGCCTCTGGAACTAGGCCCCCAGCTTCAAATCATGGCTCTACCACGTAGTAGCTGATGGGCAAGTGACTTTCTCTCTCTCTGCTCCATCTGTAAAATGGGAATAACAACACTACCTACCTGAGAGCAGCTACAGCTATAGAGTTATATCTTACAGTTGTTACCTATAAAAACTGCCTTGGGCATGGTAAGACTGTGTGAACGTCTGTGGTTCTCATCTTCCTGGCCTCTGTATTCCCAGGTGGAAGAACCCACTCTACTTTTTAAACCACTCCTCTCAAGCCCCGACCCCAATGATGACTGCCAGCTGGTTCTACCCCAAAGGCCGCTTCTTACCTTACGTCCCAAACAACAAATCTGCCCTCCTCACCCCTTCACCTGGGAATTTCTCTGACCTGGAGGTTCTATCCTTGCTTGGGTTTTAGCTGCATCAAGGTCTAGGAGGCTAAGACAGGCTGCTTTCGGGGGAGCCACAAAACACACCCACAGGGGCCCCTTAGAACCTCAGGGCATGACTCTGGAGTAGGCCCCTTCTTAAAAATCCTCTGATGACTCCAACACCTTGGTTTCATTAATGAAGAAATGGAAGTCCAAGAGAAGAAGCACCAGGACCCAGGTCATGCCTCAATGGCAGAGCTAAGCTTATTTAAGAAGAAGTGTTCTATATCCAGAAAGGGCTGCTTTCACTGAACCGAACCTCCCCTCCTATGGAAATGCAGCCATCTGCAGGCTGCCTCCTGGTGTCTGTGTGCACAGAGCCAGAAGTTCCATGTAGGCAGGATGGTGACCCATCTCTGCAACCCCAGCACCGAGCTCAGTGCCTTGCACAGGAAGGTGCCCACAATCTGAATGTACGTGTGTATGCACCTTCACGCAAGCCAGAGACGGGCAAGGGTGGGAACTCAGGAGGCAAGAGAGGCGGGTTTTGGGTTTCCAGCCTTGCAGGGAGTAGAGGCTCAAGCACCCTCTGCGAGAGAAGGTAGGTGTTGCTGCTCCTGGGTGGGTGAAAGGTGTTCTGGGGGCAGTGGTGGGATTTGAGGGGAGACTGGGAAACTGGAGACCTCCCTCTCAAACTCCAGACTCTGAACCTCCACTCAAATGCCTAACTTTTACATGGCTGATCCTTCTCCCAACCCCTTTTCTCAGGTCATGACAACAACCAAAGCCGGTGTCATCCTTGCTTGACTCCTCTTTCTCACACCCACCTCTACTTCATTACAAACAACATCCTTGGCTCTGCCTTCAAATTACATCTAGAACTCATCTCCCTTACAACACCTTGACTGCTGTCACCCTGAACTAAGCAGTCCCTGCACTAGACCTCCACTTTAGGCCGGAGAATGTAGTAACACAGCAGCCACTGATCCCAATGAAATGCAAGTTAATCACATCACTTTTCTACTCAGAGCCCTCCAATGGCTCCCCGCGGCAGCCCCCCATTTCAGAGGAGCAGCCAAAGTCCATACAATGGCCTGCGGGTCCCACATGAGCGGCCCTCCTCACCTCTGGGATCTTCCCTCCCACCACGCCCCTGTGCTAGCTCCCCTCCAGCCAACTTGGCTTCCTGCTGTTCCTCGAACACACCACCCTGCCCTCACCTTACAGCCTTTACCCTGGGAGGACGCACAGCTCCCTGCCTCACTACCTTCTTCAAGTCTTTGCTGGAATGTCACTTTCTCAACAAGGCCCACCCTGACTACCTGATTTAACTGTAACCAACAATTCTGGCACACTATATAATTTACTCTTTGATCATATATCATTGTTTATTGTCTGTCTCCCCTGCTAAGGGCACGGATTCTTGTCTTACTGCTGAGCCCCGAGCACCCAGCAGTACCTGAAGCACAGTACTGAAGGAATGAAGGGACTGAGGGCTGGGCAGCCCATCTGGCCTGTGAATGAGCTGGGACTGCAGGAGTGCACAGCAATGGGGAATCCGGGCTGAAGGTGGACTTCTGATGGCCTGGCACATCTGCCTCCTCCCCCCTTCCCCAGGAAGCCGCTTCACCCAGGGGAACACGTGGCCTGGAAGAGGAGTGGCCGAATGTGTCTCCAGCTGCAAGGCAGGACCCAGACTGAGCAGGAAAAGGTGACAACTGCCCACTCATCATGGCCTCTGTAAAGCAGGCAGGGTAAGTGGCCCCAGTGCTATACCATCACCCTCCTCAGCTTCTGTCCCATCCTGGGTTTTTTTGGTAAAGTTTCCTTTGAAAAGGCCTATCCCTCCTCTCTAGACAGACTGAGCTATGGGGAACTGGAAGGGTGAGGGAGTCAAGAGTCTAAAGGCCACCAGCCCTCCAGGCAGGAGAGCTGGGGAGGGGAGAGCCAGGGAGTCTGGGAGAAGGCCCCAGCAGAAGGCTACAGCTGCCTGCAGAGCCTGTTCCGCCTCCAAACTCTCCCAGCCCTGAGCATGCCATCTGTTCACCCCAGGGTTTTCTGGCAAACAAATTGCCAGTGTAGACCTGGAGGCGCAGGCCCAGGGCTCGCCCCACCTTCTCAGAGCGGTTCCCTCACTCCTGCCCCTCTCGGCTGTGCAGCAGGGGAATGGCCATGCCCACTTCTGCCGGGATGACCACAGCTCTGCGCCTGCCTCCTAGGCACCAGGCGAGAAGCAGGTCGAGCCGTGTGCAGCGGGTCCAAGGCACAGCGAGGGTCCAGCCCATGGAGGCCGGAGGAGGCGGCGGGTCCGTCCGGTGTCCCCTCCCCAAACCCCCGTCCCCGCGCCCCGGCCGCCCCCGGTTACCTGTGCGAGTCCTGGTCTCCCCCGGGGGACGCTCCCGCCGGCGCTCAGTACGGGCGATTGGCGTCTTTGGGCCGCTTCAGCTGCACCTTGAGCCTCTTCATGCCGATCTGGAAGCCGTTCATGGCCTGGATGGCGGTCTGCGCGCTGGCCGGGTTGTCGAAGCTCACGAAGCCTGTTGAGACACGAGGGACGAGGGCCTGGGTTTCCACGGGGCCGCCCCGGCCGCGGGGGGGCGGGCGGGGAGAAGGTCTGGGCCGAGGGCGGGGCGGTGGCGGCGGCCCCTCCCCGCGCTCCCGCCGCGCCTCCGGGCAGGAGCGGGCCTCGAAGCTCCTCCCCCTCGGGCCCCGCCCCCGGCCGGCCTCTCGCCCCCCCAGCCCGCGTGCGCGTGGCCCCTCCCGGGGTGGGCGTTTCCGAGGCTCCTGGCTCCGCCCCCGGCCGGCCTCACGCCCCCCCAGCCCGCGTCAGTGTGGTCCCTCCCGGGGTGGGCGTTTCCGAGGCTCCCGGCTCCGCCGATCTGGGCGGCCCGGCCGGGCCTCCCCAGCTCCACCTCGGCCTCGGGCGGCGCCACTCGCCCGGGCGCCCTCTCCCCCAGGGCGGGGGCCCGCGGCCCGGCGGGGCTCGGAGAGGCGCCCGCCCCCCACCCCGGCCGGCCCCCGCACCTCAGCCCTCTCCTTCGGTGGGAGGGGGCGGACACACCTGCGGGTGGAGGAGTTTATTGGACACTGTCCTCCCTGACAGGAGGGGGCCTGGCAGCGGGAGGGCACGGGGTGCCGGCCTAGGGAGAGAGAGCAGTGCGAGGGGCAGGGAGGGGAGGCGCCACGGAGAAAACTTCTCCACCGCCGGTTCCGGCCGCCCCCCTCGCCAGGGCCGCCTGGCCGCGGGGGAGGGCAGAGGCTGACAGTCTTCGCGGCCTGCCTGCCGAGGCGGCCCCCAACCGGGCTCCTGGGGGACACCGGGGTAATCCACACCGACTCGCATTAACCCACCACCTCGCACCCAGGGGCTGTCAGCACCTCTCTTATTCAGTAAAATTCCAAGCCCTGGGAGCAGGAGCTCTCGCCCTGGACTAAGGACACACCAACCGATGTGTGAACCCCTCATAATAATACTACTATTATAACAATAATAGTATAAATTAACACTATTAGTAAAAATTAGTTGAGAGCCTTCTCCGTGTACCACGGACTGCAGAAGTGCTTTTCACACAGTCACTCCTCCCAACATCCCAGGACGGGATATAGAACTATCCAGGGCTCCCAGTCACCTTCTGAAACAAGCAGTCCCCAGATGGGGATGGGTCAGGTTCCCCGAGTTCATTCATTCACCGCTTTGGGACTTGGAATGCATCTTCTTATAGAGACTACACTTTACATCAGCATTTCCTAAAATGGCCCTAATAGGTGCTCCTTGAGAAAGGGGCTTCTGTGGTCAAGTAGGTTTATAGCCAGGTCCCTCTGGGACCCTTTAAGGCACATTAACAAATGAAAACATTACCCTCCCAGCCCAACTTCTCCAGTAAATAAACCTTTATAGCTTTGTTTAACTAGTATTTCCTGGAATTTATTTGACTTTAGAGGCCTTTTTGCCTGTAAAATGGACTTAGATCCTACAAAATATATGAAACTAAGCTTGGCAAAGTTCCCAGGCCATCCTGCATACATGCCTTATTTGGGGTGCCGGTCCCCAAATGGCCATTAGATATATAAGGGATAAACAGACGCCACTGAAGTAGAAGTTGTTTTCCTGGTTAATTGTCTATGGGACGTCTGGCCCGTCTGCAACCACTCCCTCGCTCCACCCATGTGGTGGCTCTTTCTCCCTTTTTAACTCCGCCCCAGACACTGTCTCCATCCAACCTCTTTTCTCTTTCTCTTGTCTCCTTCCTGCTTTTGTTCACATTTTCTCTTGCAGCCACGGACCATCAAAGATGGAGGAGGAGTGTGTGTACGCGCACAGGAGTGTATTCAAGAGTGCGAGCGAATGAGCAATGGAACTGGTCAGAACTGGGCCCAGCACAACATAACCAATATCTGTGTAAGTCCATATGCCAAAACAGATAGGAAAGATTTAGGATTATCCATCGTGGGAGATTAATGTGAGGCATCCTTCCACCTCCTCCCCTCGCCCCCTCCTGGCCCAACGCCTCCCCACCAACCTCTGTGTCTAAAGACCACAGTTAAGTGGTGAGCAGAGCAGAGCAGTTTTCAAATGTGTGAACTGTGTGTCTGTTACACTGCTCTCCCCCAGATTAAGGAGGGTGGCTGAACTAAATTCTCTCTCCCTTCCGGGACAAGAGAGAGGTGACAGGTTACACCCTGCCCTCCTCCCCTGGCCCACCAGCACCGTCAGTTCCGACTCTGCCTCATCACCTGTGCTTGGTGGCTCTTTTTGCAGGAAACAAATGTGAGCAAAGCAGGGAGTTGACAGGAGAAAGAGCAAAGGGGCTGGAGGCGCTGTCTATGGGGAGGTGTGAGGGAAGGGACAGCCACCGAGTGAGGCGAGTCAGGGAGAAGGTCCTGGAGGGAAGAAGCCCAACCTTCGTAGAAAAGTTTAGAGTCTCCGGAAGCCAGGGGTTTAGGAAGAATTCAGGCTCAAGGAGACCTGACTTTTCAGATCTCAAGGAGACTTTTCTCCCTTACCTAGTTTTGTTAACTGGCTAGCAGTCGGGGCAGGGAGCACAGGGAGCGTCTCCTCTGCTGACTGGGGACCCCAGGGGCAGGACTCTGGGCACCGTCTCCCATGTTTGTTTCCAAGGCCGTCTTCCTTCTCCCAGAGCCCCCTCCCCCATTCCTGCCACCCCCGAGAAAGTTCCTGCCTCCCGGACCATAGGAAGATGCACAGATAGGAGGCCCTCCTCATGTCCCTCCAGTTCTACTTCCCACCAACATAGGAACCATTAGTGCTGCACATTTGCTCCTGAAGGCCTCTGGAAGATTCTGGTTATGCTTATAAAGAGCGAGGGGAGCCTTTGAGGGGTTCACTTAAACGCAGGACCACGTTTGTGGCAAAAATGGCCCCTCCTTTTGGGAATAAAGGGGGCTCTAGCCCCTCCTGAGGGTCCGCTCTGGCCAAGCCCCTCACATACACCACCTCATGTAACCCTCACAGCATCCCTGAGGGCTGACTGCTGAAGTCCCCATTTCACAAATGAGGAAACTGGGGCTCAGAGGGTTAAATGCCTGGCCCAGGAGTGAGTGCTGGAGTTCCCTCTCACAGGAGAGGCCTCTGGGAGAGCTGCAGGAGGCTCAGCTGCCAGAGCAAGCAGAGAACCCAGGAGGCTTAAGGAGGAAGCGCTGGGCCAGGCCAGCATGGCGGGACCACATCCTTTTTCAAGGCCAGTGGATGTTTAGTGCTAGAAGGTCGTTCAGGAAGAGATGAAAGAGCCAGAGTAGAGGTATACAGAGGATGATTTCCAGAAAAAGCAGGGAAAAAATCTTGGTCCTGGGGAACTTAAATGGGCCAGTGGTGAGGGTGGCACTTGGGGTGGGCTCTAAGGAAATGCCTTTGAGAAGCTGGGTTGCTCCCACGCCAGGGACCCAAGGACAACACAGATGCCCCGAGGGTATGGCTAGAGACGCCCCAAGCCTGCTCTAGCCCAGGTGCCCAGTGTGTTCTGGGTTCTGAACAGTTTTCCTCTGATTTCTGTAACTGCCAAGGCTTACTTAAAGAGCAAATGCAATCATCCTCTCCAGTTTGTTGTTTTTACATACGTAATTGTAATTTGCCAGGAGAAATACCAAACAGTGCAGGGTACAACCCTGTCTTTTCCTTCTGCTTTGTTTTCCCACACCCAAAGAGAAATGAGCTGCTGGCAACTCTAGGCCACTGAAGTATCACAAACTTCCTGTGGCAGCTGCCAGAGGGAGAGGGACAATGGGGCAAAGGTCTTGACTGCTTTGGGGAACATGCTCTAGAAACTTAGGCCCTCCATGGTTCTGGACAGTTGGTCTCCAAACTGGAATCTCCTTAACATGTGCTTCCTGATGCTTCGACACTCTTGTACCTTCTCCCCTCCACCACCCCCAGGTTGTGATCTGGGTTCCCAGGCCAATGAAGCCTCCTACTCTGTCCTCACAGACCGAGTCTGGGGGTCAACCAGGAGATCCTGAGCTTCTGGCAGACTCAGCTCGGGTTCCATGTGTGGCTCTCTGGGGACTGGACTCCTCAGGCCTGGGGAATCCTGGGGAGCTCTGGGCCCAGAAGGAAGGGCTGATGGAGACGGAAGAGGAGGCAGGAGAGGCTAAGGAGGAGCGGAGGGGAGAGGTGTGGGGAGGTGCGATTCCAGGATGTCTGAAGCAAATCAAAGCACAGGATGCCCATTTAAATCAGAATTTCAGATAAACAATGAACACTTTTTTAGTATAAGTATATTCCAGATATTGCAGGTAACATTTGGGATATACTTATACTAAAAATGCGTCCATTGTTGATCTGAAATTCCGATTTAACTGGGCATTCTATATATGGAGAAACCATACTCCTAGATCCTCCCAAGTCCTCCCTCTCCCATCTAACACCCGGACACAGGCACATTTCCTGAAAGCTGTATCTTCATTCTATTACTCTTAGCCCGAGGCCCTCCCATCATCTTCCACTGCCTACCACACCACATAAGACATCCTCTTCTGAGGTCAAAGCCCTCCCCAGCACAGACCCTCCCCCACCGCTGGTGTCCCCTGAACCCTCCTTTCTCCCCAGAGCCTCCTGCTTCCTCATTCACTGTTCCTTGACTCCTCATCCAGCCCCATGCTCTGGTCTATTCTGTTCTCCCGGCCTGGAATTCCCTCCCCTTCCCTTATTTACATCCACCTGCCTTTCTCATTACACTATTACTCGGTGCCTCGCACATTTCACTGCTGTCGAGTAGGGTGATTTTCATCTACGCTCAGACCTGAGGGTTCCTGAGGGCAGGGACCTTTTTCCTCTTCCTGACTCCTCAACAATGCAGCTCTGGTGGCCTGAGGGGAGTGGGTGGGAGAAGGAGGGTTCGTTGGATGGAAGGAGGGGAGCAAAGAGCAGGGTAGACCGAGAAGGGGGGTGGGGGCAGGAAGAGAGGTGGACAGAGGAGGCCAAGGGGCAGGCAGGGTAGGGGCCTCAGCTGGGCAGACCCCCCACTCCAAGGATGATGCTCGGCTTTCACCCCAGGGGGCACTCTGATGGAGAGAGGAGAGGGCTGCTGGGAGAATGGGTGTTGCTGGGCTCTGCTCCCTGCCCCTCCCACCCCTGCCCAAGGTGGCCGCTCCCCCTTCTCAGTGGGTGGGAACTGGACTTTTTGGCTGGGAGGGGAACCTATCTCCTGGACTGGGATGGGGCAATGGGGAGCTAGGTGGGGGCGGGCAGGAAAAGCCAGAGCCAAAAGACCAGCAGAAGAGAGAAGAGGGGCAAGAGAAGGAGACTGGAGGTTGGGCCCCAGGGAGCACTGGCAGGGAGGGGCGATGTGAAGGAGCAGGTTAAAGCAGTTGGACACCGGTAAATTGGTGCGAGCACCGCCCTGTCCTAGGTGAAGCTAGTTGGTTTGTTATCTTTACCCACCAAAGCATTTACTTTGGTTAGTCGCCCGATCCACAAACACTTTCGAGGAGATGACATTACCGAAAGGGAGGAACATCTGCATCAGCTCAGCGTCCCCAAACTCCTGGGGCAGATGGTAGATGAACAGGTTACAGCCCTCGGGCCCTGCGGTGAGGGGAGGGGGTGGGCGGGGGAGGAGGGATGGCAGGGAGGGGAGAGAGAGACAGAGGAGAGGTGAGCGAGTTAGGCAGCGGCAGCAGGGAGGGGTGGGGGCGAGGTTAGGAGGGGGGTCTCATCCAAGATCCAAAGGCGGCCACGAAAGAGTGGGGGCTGCTGAGCCCCGGGTTTGAGCTCTGGTCTCTACTCTGCCCTTGGGCAAGTCACTGAACCTCTCTGTGCCTCAGTCAGTCACCTTTTCTGCAAAATGGATTGGTAACAGGGTGCCTGGCAACTCTTGGGCTCCAGAGGCAGAGTTGATGAGTGAATGGGGTGAACTTGCCAAGGCCTGATCAGTCGTGGAAATGAGGTGCTGGGGAGAGGCAGGGGTGGGGAGACCTAAGAGGGCCTGCTGGGCCTCCCTCCTGCCCAGCTCTGCTCAGGGGAGGACAGAGGGAATTGCCCTGGGGCAGCCATGCCTGTGGTGTTCACCTCCTGTAGGCAGGGCCCACCTCAGACTCTGGGGCCCGGAATCCCCATGGGGTGGGGGCTTGGCCCATGCTCCTCCCTGGCCTGCAGACACTCCTTCCCCTCTGGTCCCCAACGGCTGCACTCTCCCCTGCCCCAGAACCTTAAACTCAGCCCTGGTCTTGAAGGCAGAAACCAAGATTTATCCTGCCCCGCTCCAGTGGGCTAGGTGCACAGCAGGGGCTTCAACAAGGCTTCGCAATTAGCCAGGGTACCTGTGACCCTCACTACATGAAAGCCTCCCAATTTCATTAAACAATGACAGCCCTGCCACTGCTGTAGCATGAACTACATGTCAGGCTGTTCTAAGCACTTTATATGTAGGTTAATTCACTTCATCCTTACAGCAGCCCTATGAGGCAAGTACTTCTGTCATCCCCACCTCTCAGATGAGGAAACTGAGGCCCAGAGAGGTCAAGTCACCTGCCAAAAGTCACACAGCTAGTAGAGGGTGGAGGCAGGATATGAACCCAGGCCTTCTGCCTCCATAGTCTGTGCTCTTCTCTCTCTTTACCTATCTTTCATAAATCTCAGTGCCCCAGAAACCCCCAACACTGTTGAGGCCTTTAGACTTCTGAAATTTCCAGATAGCTAAAGTATTTCATTTTTCTTTTTAAATGACTGAAATCTCAATTTTAACTCTTTGAAATGGAAATCTCTCCAAAATGCTCCATCTGTTTCCTGCCATCTTAAACAGAGAAAGCCACATGTAATTTAACTATTTCAAGTGTGGTCATTTCAGTGATGGTTTCCAGCCTACGGAGGACATGCAGAGGAAACTGCGGCACTTGCTAGACCTGTGTAAGGACTGAGGTTCTGATCAGAGGCTGGTGCAGACCAAGCATGAGCTTAAAAGTGACGGCTGTAAGGCACCGATGTGGGCTGCTATGCAGCGTTCACGGCCAGAACCAGCTGTCGTGGGTCTCTGCCAGATAACCCAGTTCTGGAGCAAAGAGCTCCCTCTGGAGTCTGTCCTTCTTCCTCTCCTCTCCCCTCCTGCTCTCCTCCTTCCCTCCATCTCTCTCCACCCCCCACAGGTACACAGCGATAGACCACCAGAGCTGCCCTCGGAGCCGCTGACCCCTCGGTCCTTGGTCCCCACCCTACACCATCTGCCCGCCCACACCCTCCGGCCTCCCCTCCCTGGACTGCTGTCTCCCAGGCAGACTGCTAGCTGACGGCGCATTCGGGACGGCGCAAGCGTGCTCCCTCACCCAGTTCCAAGGGTCCCCGGAGCTGGATCCCCCGAGATCTGGTGGCCCTCCCGTCACCCCGACCCCTCCAAACATGCCATGTTCTCACTGGTTCATGCCCGGTGAATGTGTCCCTTGATGGTCCCAGCTAGAGGTGAGTCCCCTTGGGGCAGGAACCAGCTTGAAGGCCTCATCTAAGCCACACCTCCTCCAGGACTCCCACCCAGATACTCCCCACAACTTCTCCCTTCGGGTGCTCCCTGAGTTCATACTCCATACTCTGTGGTCTGAGGCTCTTTCTTCTTTATGTCTGAGAGCTTTTCTCTCCAATCAGATGGGGCGCTCTCCAGGGGTAGAGGCATTTGCCTTCTCCAGTCCTCCTGCCCCCCCCAAACCCAGCACGTGCCTTCCCTCTTCCTCCCATCCTCATTCTTCCCAGCTTCACTCACTGACCACTCTACCCCATACTGACACCTGACTTCAACTTGGGGCCCTCACTCCAAGTTCAAGTTCTGCAAGCTGCTTTGTGTGGATGTTATGTCTATTCTCCTTAAAGAGACAAGGAACCTTCGAGGGCAGGGCCTGTAGGCTCAGTCCCATCAGCATAGTGTGTGGCTGAGCCCCACAGGGACTTTCCTAGCCTGTGCCCCTCAGCCCTCAACAGCAAGCCTACACATTGTCCTGCTCCAGCTACCCCAAGCCCTCACTGCATTCCCTCATTCACAGATTATAGAGCATCCAGATGGTATAACTGGGAGGACCTTGGAGATCAATCTGGTCCAACCCAGCCTTCTGAGAAATGGTGAAACGGAGCTCTAGAGACAGAAGGTGACTACCCGGGCCGCACTGCAGCCCCTGGCAGAGTAACCTCAACCCGTCTGTGGAGCAAACTGCCTCTGGGGATTCAGGCACCTGTTGGTTTTCAGGCTCAACTCAAAGACAAGGAGCTGGAAGGAGGGTCCTCCCTAGCAACCAGCGTGTCTTGGTATTTCAACGGCATTACATGGGGGAGGTGACCATGATGGACAGAGGCCAACCACTGGCATGGCTAGAGGAACACAGCCTTCTTTCTCGTCCATGCCTCATGCAACACTGTGGACACAGCTTTGGTCTGGCTCCAACCCACCTTCAACCTGTCTCCCCCTGTACCCAGGCTCTCCTCGTACTTGGCAGCACCCATGCCTTTGCTCCTGCTCTTCTCCCTGCCTCGAACACCCATCTCCCCATCTCTACATGCTGAAGACTTCATCCTTCAGAGCCCCCAAAACCTTCCCCAACAACCCCACTCCCAGCACCATGAGCTTGCCCTTGTTTGCAGTGTGGTTCTGTATGCATCCGAGTTCACGTACGCCCTCCCCAAGCCCTGCTCCCCCACAGTGGGCCATCCAGCGCACTACAGTCTAGGAGAATGGGTAAAACAGTGGGAGATCCCCTCTCTCGAAGGAGGCTGGAGTGGAGACTGGCCACAGAGGGTCTGGCCAAGGGAGCAGGGCATGGGGGTGGGGGTGTTGAAGCTGCTCAGAGATGGGGAGAAGATATGAGGAGTTCAGAGCTAGAGGCCTGGGGTGGGGCAGAGTGTGAGTGGGGGGAGGGGCAGGGAGCAGATAGCGGGCCTGAGTTTAAGGCCAGTGATAGGGGCTGTCGGGTGTTGGTCAGAGCAGCAATGACCTGCAGCTGTGTGTGTGTGTGTATGTATAGCAGGTTTAGAGACCCCTGAGCCCAAGGGCCAGAGTGATGCAGAGCGCTGACTACAGGGTGAGGGTGGGTCAGCCTGAAGCCAGTGGGGTGGCAAAAGTAGCAGGGCCTCTGGGTACGACTCTCTATTCTGGGCCTGGGACTGGCCACACTGGGACTCCAGGACCCCGCCCCTTACAGCTATGATCTGACTGACGTGGCGCTGGAAGGCTTGGCCTGGGCAGCAGGAGGGCAGGGCAGGTTCCAGGGAGGGTACCCTCTGGTGGAGGCAGGGCTGATGGGCCACCCCTACCCCCATTTCACCCATGGTGGGTCCAGACATCAGTCAGAGCTCAGCAGGGCGTGACTGCAGATGGTGGGCAGGGGGCCCCAGTATGTACCCCTCAGCTCCTGTGGCTTGGCTCTCCTGGGCAGGGGGAGATCTGATGGTACAGATCTCAGGGGCTGCCCAGTGCATGTAAACTGGGGACATGCCTCAGGTACAACTTTGGAGGGGTGACAATTTGGTGAAGGAAGGGCTGTGTGCACAGTGAGAAATCCATAGGCAACTGCTAGAGGTCGGAAGGCAGACTTGAGCTAGTTCCATCCTCACACCCCTCTGGGGAATAATCATCACTGTCCTCATTTTACAGGTGAGGCCACCAAGGCTGAGAGGGGAGGAGGTGGCCAATCTGGGAGTCAGACACAGAAGGGTTTTATTCAAAGCCCGGGCCCTCAGCTGTCCAGGCTCTGGGGCCTGTTCGGGGCCTGTCTAACCAAAGGGGTTTGGACCAGCAGACCCCCAGGGGCCTTTCCAGGACTAACCCAAATCCCATGGCTCCCAACGATCTGCTGCAGGGGCTACAACCCAGCCTTTTGGAGACCATTGGAAGCTCTTGGCCATGTGGGCTACTAGGGCAGATGGGGCAGCCTCACTGGCAGGGTGACCCTTTCCATGGGGGTGGGGAGGACAGGACCTTGTTAGTGTTCCTATCCCCTCAAACTGAGCTCTCTCAGGCCCATGGAACCCCGGAGGGTGGGCTTGTTTATCCAGCTCCTATGGGTCTGTCTCTAGGCTCTGGAATGGGAGGACACTGAGGGTCTTTATGAAGTCCCTGCCTTCTGAGCCCCACTGGCCTTGCCTGGCCTGCCCTGTTTACACAAGGGCCTCTGGAAGGGGCTTTCCAGGATGCCCTCCTTCCATTAGGCCTGCACTGGGGCCCTCCCATCCCCTTACCTGCCCATGGAGTCCTGCCCTAGGAGATCTAGCTATATCTCCTGGTCACCCAGGGGGTACAACTTCCCCCGTCCACAATGAACTGGTCTCCCCACTCCCCCCCACCCGCAGCCATGAGCATTCCCACTTCTCCCCTTCCTCCTCACTGGCCAAATCCTGTCCATGGGGGAGGGGGAATTCTTGGGTTCTTGGACCCCACCTCCTCCAGGGCCCAACCTTCCTGATCTCCCCACTTGGGTGTCCAGAGCTGCCCATGAGAAACATCCCTTGGTGCTTGGATTAGAGAGCGCCATGTCTCACAACCCTGCCATCTTCCTTCACCCTCGACACAACACACAAATGTGGTCACCTTTCGAATGAAACACCCAGACAAAGGCCCAGGCAAACAGCCTCTTTGGGGAGAGAAGGGGGTGGGGAGGAGCCTAGGAGCCCCAGCTCATGGACTCACCTTCTCTCTGTTGCTGGGGGATCATTGGAGGTGGCTGAGGAAAGGCCTGGCTTATCTGACCATAGGCAGCAGGGTAGGCGGCTGCTGGAGGACCAAAGAGAAGAGGCAAGAGCAAGAAACGGTGACAGTGACATGGAGAGAGACAGGGTGAGAGGCAGGAAGAAAGAGAGAAATTTCAGTGTTGAGCAGTAAAAGCAGAGCAACCAAAAAGTGCGTTTCAGCTCAGCCACTTAAGAGAAAGCCAGCTTTCAGGAGTAATGAAGGAGAAGCAGCACGGTGAACATTAGAGGGGTGTGTGTGTGTGCACGCGTGCATGCACGCATGGGGAGAGGCAAGTTTAATCTGAAACGATGGACAGCCCACTCGTGTGGATAATATACAATAAAAGATAATCAAAAACATCAGAATGCCATGGACAAGATCACTCCACACCACCTGGAACCCACAAGAAGGTTTCCCCCTTCTCTGAGCCATGCTGACTCTGGCTGACATAGCCTCACTCCCACTCAGATGGTGCGTGTGGGAGACGGGGAGCCACCCTCGGGGAGAGCTTGGCCTCTGGGATCCTGCCAGCGGGTGGCCCCCAGGACAGAGCTGGACAAACCTGACGCTTTCTGTATTTAATCGGAAAGGGTCAGAGGTGGGGCAAGAATAGCCAGCCCCCTCCTTAGCCTGGCTTGGCTCCCAAAGGGGCAGGACCTGAGGTCAGAGCTCAGGTGAGCCCAGGAGATGACAGAAAGGGCTTCCCCTGGGCCCCAGATGTGAGAGGCCAGCTTCACCCGGGTCCCCAAGTTGCCAAGCAGCCCTACCGTCCTCAAGGCAGACATCGCTGGCTCTTCTGAGCACAGTGAGAAGGGACCTGACTCAGCCAGACAGCAGGACACTAGCTGGGCCAGGATGATTATGCGGGGGGTGTGTGTGTGTGTAGTGTGTGTGTGTGTGTGTGTATGTTGCCCAGACCAGGGGTGGGAGGGAGACAAGCATAACAGCTTGCCTTGTGCTTCCTAAAACTGCTCACCACCTTCCCGTTCAGTGACCCCAGGCCATCTGCTCACCCCAGGGCTCTCTTCTCCTCTCTTTTTTTCTACCTCTTTTTTTCTAGCCTTCCTTGCTCCCTGTCATCGTTGCTCGAGCCCCACTCCTGCTACCTGTATATGGCTGGGGGAGAGGCGATGGAAAGTGCTTCCTTTCCAGGGTCTCTCCTTCCCTCAAACCCAGGCATGTATGCTTGCTAGAGCAGTGACTGTGGACTGTGATGGGCAGCACCCTAGCTCTGGCCTCACCCCAGTGCTGCTCTGTGGCTTGGTGGTCCTGGACAAACCAGCCCGGGCAGCACCATGGGGAAGGGAAATCTGGCCTCAAAGTAGCTGCCCAGCAAGGTCAAAGCCTCAACCTAGCTCACCAGCTCACCTGAAGTTCTGACCACCCACCACTGTAAGTTCTGACCACCCACCACTGTAAGCACAGGATGAGGATACTCTCCCTGAATGCTGGGGGGCTGCAGAGAGGGAGGCAGAGGGGGGTCTCTGCCAGTAGAGCCCTCCCTCCTTACACCGAAGCTCCCTGCCACTCTGTCCCCCCTCCTCCCTTCCACACAGTGCTGGGCCCAGGCCTGGGGTGGGGCGTGGGGAGATGCACACAGCTGGGGGAGAGGTGTGGGGACGCGTGGATACTAACGACCTGCATACTGCTGCACTCCAGCGTAGGCCTGCTGCAGGGGGTCCGCGGTGGTGGGGCTCTGCGCTGCAGGGAAGCGAAGGGGACAGAGGTCAGTGGTGTCCACCCAAACCAGCCCCTCCCACACCATGCCCATGAGGAGACACTGTGGCTTCATCACCCCTCCTAGCTACTGTGGTGCCTGCCCTGGGACAGGACATCTGAGGCAGGAACCCTGAGTTCCTGGACGCTGTTGGGCTTCCCCCTTCCCCAGCCCACAGTGCTTAGTAGGGTAGAAGGTTGCCTACTCTGACTGGGGGCTACAGGCTGCAGCCGGCCTAGGGTGGAGTGGGATGGGCGGTTCATGCAGAAGGCTGTGAAGGCCTGGGAAGGAGATGCCAGAGGAGAGCTTGACCATGAGGGGCTTGGTGGGGAGACACATGAGGGACTTGGCCCTGGAGAAGGGCTGTGGGAAATCAGGCGAGGGGGCTAGAGGCTGTCAGGATGGTGACATCCTCACTTATCTCCAGCAGAAGTCAGGGGCAGTCCCAGCTGGGTGAAAAAAAAGGGCAAGGGAGGCTTCACCTGTCACTCTGTCTTCCTGGGCCACTCATGCCTGCTTAAACAGAAGGACTTCTCCCTTATTCTTAGGGATTTTGCACACTCTTGCACTCTTAGGCCATGGCTGAGATGCTCTCAGCAGGGACTGGCCACACAAATGAGGTGTGCCCAACGGAAACTGAAGAACCAGAAGACCAAGGACCTTCCTTGCACCTGATCTCGTGACTCTGGGATGCCTACTGCCCAGGGCGAGGAGAGGACCCTTGGGCTGATACTTTGGCAAGAAACTTGAGGCAACTGGATTGGGGAAAAGGCTTGGTTGACTTCTGTGGCCTTTGCTGTGTCTGCAGAAGCTGTGGGCAAAAGCCTGGAGCATGGACCAGTGGTGGACATTGCCTTTGGTCACCAAGGCCAATGATGGCTGAAGTGGGAGTGGGCTGGCCTTGGAGGCTCTGGGAGGTGGGTGGGGACAGATCCAGCCTCAGTATGTTTGAGGCAAACTCGATAACACAGGGAGGCAGGAAAAAAACCATCTGAGCTTATCTGCCTGGTGACCCAGGCCAGCCAAGTTAACTGGCAGTGCCAGGCTTTGGAGCCTGTAGACCAGGAAGGATGCCCAAACTTCCTTTCTGAACTCTTATCTCTGAATCTCTCAGTCAAATTCCATAGCCCCTGGGCCTCAGGAGAGCCAAGGGAAAATCCTGGGGCAGAGGTCCTTAGAGATAGCGTGGAAGGCAGCAGGGGAGCTGGGCCCAGAAGGGCACTGCTCAGAGCGGGACAGCTAAAGCTAGGTCAGGATGCAGGCCCCTTCCTGTCTGGGGCTGCCCCAGAACAAAACCCTGTCCCTATATTTCCCCCACGGCGGAGCCTGGAGCTCTGATTGCTGAGGTAGTGGTGGTGCTTGGCGGGGTGGTCTCTTCGTCCCTCCTGCTCCCTCTGCCTGACCCCTCTGCCAGCCTCAGCTCTCTGGAGGGAGAGCCATGTCTGGCTCGTCCTCTTGGTCTTCCTAGCTGCTTGCCCACATATGCCTTTATGCAAATTAGGAAAAGGTATCTCTTCCTCTGGGCACACAGTTTGGTGCCCTGGGCAAAATATAACCTGCACAAATTACATGACAGCTCCCCCAGCACAGTGCCAGGATCATGGCAAGTACTCAGCAAATACTGCGACATAAGGAATGAATGAATGTTCCTTCAGGGGTGTGATGTGGCAGCAAAGGCCACACTGTGTGCTTCCAACCTGATCTCAAGCAAGAGGGGAGAACAGAGAAGCTACCTGAGGCTAGGAAGTGGAGAAAAGCATTTCTGAAACCCTTCTCTACTTCTCTGCTTAATGACCTCATTAGTAACTGCCAAAGAGTGAACATTTTGAAAGATCTCGCTCATTACAGCGGCTCCAAACTCTGCATTTAAAGATGGTAAATTAATTTTTTTAATGTACTACTTTTCTCCTTTCCTACCCTCCATCCCTCCCTCCTGCTCTGGCAGGGAATTGTTTATGGGATGTGGCAGATTGTTACAAATGGGGGAGAGAAACATTTCCAAATTCCATGAGGGAAATAGCTCACAGATGCTGGTGGAAGTGGGGAAGGAACAGGTTTCTCAAAATCCAGAGATCCAGATGGGCTTGTGGGCAGGGAGGAGGGAGGAAATGAAACCACCCAGATGTGCTGGGGACTGCATCTCCCAGCCCACGAACCTGAGGGAGGAGGAGCCCTGGAAGCTGAGATTGGTGGGATCTCTTCCACCTCCAGCTTGCCAAGCCCCTCCCTGCCTCCCTTGTCAGCCTGGAGTCTTCACCCTTACACAACACTCCAGATCCTCCAGGCCCTGCCACTTCACTCTCTAGGCTTCTCTGGTCTCTTCTCTATGCACTGAGGGGTGGGTTTCAGGTCAAGCATTGGGATGGGATCAAGGACAACTCCAAGTTCAAAGTCAGGAAATTCTCCTCTATTTCCCTCTAGCACAGTGACCTTGTACTCTGCTGCCGGTGCACCTTTTATATTCTCTGGATGTCTGGGCCTCACTCCAGACACTGAAATCAGAATCTCTGGGCTTCTATGGTTTTTCAAAGCCACACAGTGGATTCTGATGGGCAACTAGAGTAGGGAGCACAACTTTGCCCCCCACTGCTGAACTACCACCGGCTGACCTCCTCTGTCCTACTTGGGCCAACCTCCTTACCACCCCCTGCCCCTGTCAGGCAGGCCCCTCCTGCCTCTGGGCTTCCAGGACAGCCGCTCCACGTTGTTCATCCTCACCTCTCCAACTCCTACGCATCTGTTAAAGTCCAATCTGAGCCTCCTCCTCAGAGAAGCTCTGTGGACTTCTTCAGCCTATAGAACTCTCCTTTTACTTGAATCCTTTAGCATCTCAAGTCAGGGAACATTCACTCTTGATCAGACTCCATTCTGCCACACTGTCTCAACGTCCTGTCAATGTATATAGTGTTCCTGACTGAACTTTGACCTCCCAGGGGATAGGCCCATGTCCTCCCCTCCTTCTGGGGCCCCCCTTTCATCCGGCAGAGACTGGGCACTTACTAGTACTCATGGGGACTCCGTAACCCTGCCATCTGCCCTCCAGGAAGGAAGTCAGCACTCTTTACATCTCTATTACACTGCCCCTTGCTAGTCTGCTCTAGGACATTTGCCCCTTGCTAGTCTGCTCTAAAGTCAATCCATCCTCAGGACCAGACAGAGGAGCTGCTTCAGGTCAATTGGACACACTCACCACGGGAGAACTGCTAAGTTTAAGAGGAACAAAGTTAATCAGGAACAGGCCTCTTGCTTGGATCTTCCTTCACGCCAGAATTCAGGAAAGTAGGGCCCAGGAGCTGTCCAAGGTCCTGATCCGCTGTCCAAAGTGCTGACCAGGGTTTTATGTGTACCAAGGGACTGAACTGATATGTACTAGCCAGAATGCCAATCTATATACCTCTCCTTCTTTCCCCAAAGAGTCTTTTCCTACTTAACACTAAATATGATTATTCTTTTAGCTTCTATCTCTTCACGTCTCATGAGTCAAATTCACTCTCAATTAATTTGCAGTCACTAGCCTCTCTGCCTGGTTGTACACTGCATCTATTCTCTTTTCTTACCTGAGGGAGCCCCAGGAATGGGGTCCTTTCCCACTCATCAGACTGACACATGCCCAAGGATGGGAATTTGGTTTCTTCCCTCCCACCAGGGGCTCTTGAAGGAGGGCAGGAGGCTGGCTCTCCCTGATCACATTTGGGGTCCCACCAAGGAAGAGATAGAGGGCAGGAGCCACATGTTCCCTATTTTAACAGCAAGGGCGGGGACAGAATGGATGAGAAGTGTGCTGCATGGTGAAGGAAGGGATACCAGATGTGCTTACCTGGGTAGGGGTGGATGCCATTGGCAAACACAGCTTCTGCAGCAGGTTGCCCATTGGCCTGTGGGGGGAGGCCGGTGAAGCCGTTCACCCCAATGGGGGAAGGGATGCTAGGCACGGCTGGTGCAGTGATGCCCGGAGGGGTGCTGCCACCTGTTTCCAGAGGTGGGAAGGGGTGGAAGAGAAGAGAAGGCAAGCAGAACAAAGGTGAGAAAGGTCAAGTCATGGAGCTCTGCCCTGCTGGCTCCAAAGGCCTGGGGTTGGACTTGGACCTCACACACCAACTCAATCCTATCTGTGAATCATGCCAGGGTTTATCTCCCAGCATGCAGGGACTCCACCCATCCCAATGGTATCCATCCTTCAAGGCAGAGTCCAAATCCCACCTGCTCCAAGACTTCCCTGACCACTGACGGCTCAACCTTGGACCTACAGCACACAGACTATTCTCAGTGCCCTTGACTTTGACCACACTTGGTCTTCTTTCGGTCTTTTTCAGTGCCTCTTGCTCACCCCAGCGAAGTCAGGATGGGCAGGTCCTTGTTTATAGCCACCAAGTTGCTGGCTCTGCTCTCTTGTCTGGATCACTGAGGGGCTGATCTGTCTCCCCAGGAAGGAGTTTTGCTACTCGGGTGGAAGAGGTCTTAATTCTGGTGTTCCCTTGCACTGAGGGAGAGAGGCTGTTGTAGAGTCCAGACTCAGCTCTATTCACATACAAAGCAGACCCCTTGGCCTCCTCCAGTTGAGTCAACGGTGATGATCATTGTAGCAAGAGTAAAGTTGGGGTCAGATGACAATACGCTGTGCCCTCCCTATGCCAGGTGGGTGGAACCCAAGTTGTGGATGGCATGGTGATTGTACTGAGGCCCCAGAGGCTGGAAAGGGCCTTCCTCTTCATGTAGGAAGCAAGGTCTCTCTGTGTTGAGGATCTGAGGCTGGCCTGGTCTAAGGATTGTCCTAAGCTGGGGATCAGAGCTGTGGTGTAGTGCTCAAGTTGGGCCTAGAGACGGCACAGACTTGAGACTTTTAGCTAGGAAAGAAACAGATGCTGGATGTCAGGAAAACTGCCGCTATGGCCTGGGAGCAGAGAGCCAAGGCAGTGAATGAGAGCCTGGGGGGTTGGGCCAGCCCTTGGGACTAGACAAGGGTTTCTCAACTTTGACACTGTTGGCATGTGGCACCAGACATTCTCTTGTTGTGGGGAGCTGTCCTGTGCATTGTAGGATGTTTAAAAGTACCCTGTACCTACTAGATTATAGTAGCACCCCCTCTCCGAGTTGTGACAACCAACAATGTGTCAGGACATTGCCAGATATCCTTAGGGGGGTGGAGGTGGCAAAAATGCCCCTGGTTGAGAATCACTGGACTGGACAATAGCCAAGATCCAATTAAAAACATGCTTTGTGAGCAGGGCTGTCTCCAACCCTCTTGTCCTTTGATAACTCTTCTGGGGCTCTTGCTTGTTGTGTTGTTCTCTTGGAAAAAGCCACTGAATCTAGGCTGGGCTAAAGGAAAATGAAAAAAAAGGGGGTCCCTCTGTGCTTGCGCCAGGGACCAAATAAGGCCACAGAATGGGCAGAGCTCTTCTCCCCTAGGACCTCAAAGGGACATGTTTTCATGTCAATTTCTTTCCAGATATCTATAATAGAGATCAAGATAGAATTGCTTCCTGACATGGCTAAACAACTTGAATGCAATTCTCACCACCCAGAAATCATATCATGGACTGCATGGGGCCCACATCCCATCTTCTCTTGGGTCCCCAGGGATTAGAATATTTTGGGGCCACCAGAAGATGAGGCCTGCTTGGGCCCAGACACCATGTGCTTGTGTCACAGGATGGTCCATTGGTAGCCGAAACTGGCCAAACAAATGGTCCCAGCCTGGGTCCAGCTGTTCTCCCGCTGGGCCAGGCCCTGTGTTAGTACCTGCCAGCTCACCTGAGGTTGGGGTCATGGGTGCGGCCGCCAGGCCATTCATGTTGAGGGCTGCCATCTGCTGCATCTGGGCGGCGGCAAAGGCAGCCATGGGGTTCAGGTAGCCACCCTGCGCGACTGATGCCATTAGTGCCGCTTGCTGCTGCATCAGCTGGGGCAGAGGGAGTGGAAAAAATATCATGCACTTCCAGGGGGGCCGCCCTCCCCACCAGGGGGCTCAGCTCCCAGAGACCAGCTTCCCAGGCCCTGAGCCCCAGGGAGCTCAACTACATCTCCCTGCCCCCACCCCTAGAGAGCCCTGATGTCTCCTCCCTTCTTGTTCTAGTTCTCAATGGCTATTACAGACCACCCCCTAAGAGAGAACTGTATTCAAAAGTAACGGTAAGGGGCCAGCCCCGTGGCTTAGCGGTTAAGTGCGTGCGCTCTGCTGCTGGCGGCCCGGGTTCGGATCCCGGGCGCACACCGACGCACCGCTTCTCCGGCCATGCTGAGGCCGCGTCCCACATACAGCAACTAGAAAGATGTGCAGCTATGACATACAACTATCTACTGGGGCTTTGGGGGAAAAAATAAATAAATAAAATTATAAAAAAAAAAAAAAGTAACGGTAGGGTCTAAGGTACTCTCAAGTTGTAGAGGGTGGGGAAGGGGACTGGCTCCAGGGGTGTCATTCATGGAGATGTGACACCTAAAGTTCTAGAGACATGTTGGATGAGCCTCTGTAGAATTAACTTGGTGTGGATTTCTGTCCAAAATGGTCCTAACTTGGAGTCTGTTGGGTAGCAGCCACAGGAGAATCAGGAATAGAACCCCAGGCACCCGCAATGTTTTCATAAAGGTGAGTGAGGACTGGGGAGTTTGTTGAAACCGGCCCACTTTGGGTACTGCTGAAGAAGTAAGGTGAGCTAGCATTTGTAGAAGCAGAACCCTGGCCTTCCTCAGCGCCACTCCTGTGGGGGCTGTGGTTACATGTTCTGGGAGGCAACTCAGGAGAGATGCTGGCAGAGCCGGCTCCAATGTGGAAGAAAGAAGTTGGTGGGCCAATGGCCTGAGGCAGGGCTGGGGGGACTGCAGGGGAAGTGTGGGTGTGGGTGTGGGTGTGGGTGTGGCTTTGGGCACCTCACAAGAGGCCTGTCAGGAGTGTCCCAAGGCCTGAGGACACCTCTCCATGAGTGGGGGTAGGAGTGGGGTGGTGACAACCGGACACTTGAAACTCTCTCCCTTTCCCAATTGGTGCTTCCTAGGGTTTGACTGGTGGAGGAGCGCTCAGGGTAACCCACTTTGCTGCTCTTCCTAGAGGTCTCTCTCCAGCTCCTCCCCTTAAGAAACAGGACAGTAACACACCTCCTCCTGGCAGCCACCCCACAATGGACCAGCCTTCTCTAAGGTCCCTCTGGCCTCCACTCCCTGGATTCATTCCTCACCACTCCTCACTCCCCAGGGCAGGAGCAGTATTTTCTGGGCCAGAAGCAGGGCTCCCCTCACCGAGGTTAGGACTCCCTGCTCTCTGGGACTCTGAGCGGAACAAGCTGGAGAACCCCTGCCCCCCTAGCCGCCTGGCTGAGCCCCCACTTACTGCCTGTGCGTAGGCGCCGTAGGCCCCGAACGGGATGGCCATGGGGTTGAACATGCCCATCTGGCCGGCCATCTGCTGCATTCGCCGCATCGTGCGCTCCTTGTCGGTGTCGGCGAACTTGACCACCAGACTGGATGAGGCTCCCTGCAGCCAGGACTGTGCGTGAGGCCCACCTGCCCTGGGCCTCCGCTCCCAGCTGTCGGTGTCCCTGGCCTGGACCCACCCGGTCCTCTGGGCAGGGCGCTACCGGGGCACGGGCACCCGCGCTCATCCAAGGGTCTGGGGTCTTAACCCCACCGCGGGCGTTTTCTATCCGGAGTGACCTCGGGCCACTTCCTTAACCTCTCTGGGCCTCAGTGTCCTTGTCTGAGAAATGGGGATAATGGTAATGCCTTCCAGTCTCATGGAGACGCTGTGAGGGCGGCAGGTATTTGGCACGGTGTGGACTGCGCGGAGGGAGGGGAGAGGGGCCCCGAGGGTGTGCGGGGTGGAGGGGGTGTCTCGGTCCCTCCATTGCCCCCGTCCCCGCCCCCACCCTGGAGCAGCCGCACTCACCGGCATGGTCTGGCTGCCGTGCAGAGCGTTGATGGCGGCTTGCGCCTCGGCGTGGGAGGAGTACTTCACAAAGGCGCACCCTGGAGGGACGGGAGAGGCTGAGCCACGGCCCGTGGGCCCGGAGGAAGGCCAGAGAAGCGCAAGGACGGAGAGGCGGGGCACGGGAGCGGCCGAGGGGAGAGGGCGCATCCCAGATGAAAGTAGAATGGGTGAGACACACAGAGACTGAGTGGGAAAGGGAGACACCGAGAAACACAGAGACAGAGCCACAGACGGACAGAGAAAGACCTGGACGAGTCGGAGACTGAAAGCACCCTTAAGTCTCCCCGTCCCTGTCTGCCCTTCGATCGCGGCCATTCCTTACCCCCAGGCCCGACAGCCTCGCCCCTTCCAAGCATCCTTTCCTGGCCCGCCCGTCGGGGCAGCTCCCGGCGGCCTCGGACTCCGCCGTCAGTCAGGCGCTCGTCTGGCGGGTCCGCCCCGCCCACCACCTCGCCCCGCCCACTACCTCGCCCCGCCCCACGCACGCCCCGCCCCCACGCACCCTTGCTGTTGCCGTCGGGTCCTCGCAGGATGGTGCACTCCTCGATGTTCCCGAAGGCCTCGAAGAGGCGGCGCACGTCGTCCTCAGACTGCTGCTTGTTGAGCATGCCCACGAAAAGTTTTCTATCTTCTGGAACAAAATTAGGAGATGCTTACCCGGGCCGGGGGCCGGGCGACGCGGGGGCGGGCCCGGGGGGAAGGAGGCACGGCCGGAGGGGAAGGGTTCCGGGGGGAGAGGGGGGAGCTGGGCAGGAGTGGGGGCGGGGTCTCGCAGCCTGGGAGAGGGAGCAGAGAGAGGGCGAGG